CCTTCCATAAACTTTTAAAAGCCCCTGCTGTGCTTCTGGCTGGCCCTCATAGTGATGTTTTCCTTAGTCTACTTTTCTGTATCTGCCAACGTTTCCATATAAGCCCATCTTAAAGTAATTAATAGCTTAGTTTTGACTCTGGAAAACTCTACCTCTTCCTCTTAAAGGTTTCAGATCTCTAAGAAAGCTTTCAAAATTAATCAGATGGTGGAAAACTAGGAAGAGAGAGTTCAACTCTTCTGCAGAATACCACAAAATTTAAGCCTAAAATAACACGATGACACTTTTTTAAGTTTTTTTTTGCCTTAGGGTGTAAGCACTCACCAGAGAGAGAGACAGAGACAGTGAGAGGGAAAGTGAGAAATCACCACCACCACCCCCCATGGGGGGATGGCCATGCCACAATCCCTTTTACATTCCCCTTGGATCTTGGGCATGCATGTACATGTGTCCAGAGTGATTTTCTTTTCTTCTTTTCTTTTCTTTTCTTTTCTTTTGTTGTTTTCTTTTTTTTCTTCTTTTCTTTTCTTTTTTTTTTTTTTCTTTATTGTGTGTGTGTGTGTGTGTAGAGGTTTTTGCTATAGGGCGCGTGCACTCACCAGACAGACAGAGAGAGACAGAGAGACAGAGAGACAGAAAGCAAGAAATCACCCCCCGGGGGGGGATGGCTACACCACAATCCTTTCTCTCCATTCTCCTCTCGGGATCTTGGGCACACACATATACACGCCTGGTGTGAGTTTAAGGCACCGGGTCTGGGACTCAAACTGCGATCGACTACATGGGAGTCCAGCGACACAGCCATTAAGCTAACTGCTGGTCCCCCAAGAATTATTCTTTAAACTTTATTTATTTGCCAATTTTTAATTTGACCAGAGAGGATCAGAGAGAGAGAGAGAGAGAGAGAGAGCAAGCCACCAGGTCCAAGGCTCGAACTGTAGTTGGCCATGTGGGAGTCCAGTGACATAACTGCTTTGCCATCTACTAGTCCCAACATGATCACTTTTTAATTGCTTTTAGAGTTCGAGGTCTCTGAGGGAGGGTTTTGTATGTGTGGTCACTACCGGGTCTCCATGGCCTACTGTCTGGTATACAGTTAGCGCTCAAGATTGTGGAACAATGGAAAGAAACTTTGGGGTCCAGCCTGAAGGTTTCTTTAGGAACAATAAAGTGAGGGGCCAGCTCTACCTTCCCCTGTCGGCTGCTGTCTGGAATAAGTCTTCAGAGCCTGGAAGAAGCAGCTGAGAACAGAGCTGTCCCACTTGGAGGAAAATAATCTGGATTGTGGGGGTAGGGTAGAGGCAGAGAGTCAGGGCGGGCAGGAGAGGACTGGCGTGGGGAGGAGGACTGGGAGAGGGTTTCCTCAGTCCTCACCCCACTCTGACTACATTCCCTCCAAACAGAGGCAAGGCCCAAGGCCCAGCCCAATGCCGTGAAGTGTCACTACTGTTCTGGGGATAAGTCGGCCCCTTGTGACTCCCTTTCGGTCATGAACTGCACCGGGGACCAGACTGTGTGTGTCACTCTCAATGGGACATGGAGTACAGGTAAGGGCTCCTTTTAAGAGGTCAATTGCATGGCAAGCCACCTTCCCATCTGCACAAAGAAGTGTGGAGTTTCCGGTGCTCTATTGCCTGTGTGTTCTGGTGACCTATTGCTATTTAACAAATCACCTGCAAATTTAGGGGCTTAAAATGACCATCGTTTTATCATCTCTGGCAGTGTCTGGGTCAGGCTGAGGGGCAGGATTTGGGAAGAGCTCAGCTGCACATTCCTGGGTAGCTCACGTGTTTGTGTCAGAGGGTGACTAGAGCTGGAACGCAAGGCCCAGAGGAGGTGGGGGCTTGCCAAACCTCCCTCTTAGCCATGCACATTAGGGACCCTTCCATATAGTCTCTCCACAATGGTCAGATTGGTCTTCCTCACATCATGGCTGCCTCAGGGATCTTTACATGGACGCTAAAGACCATCTGGCAAGCAAGGTGGCAACTGCCAGCCTTGGACGTTGTATAATGTTATTGGTTGTAATGGTCACAAAACTTCATCTGGTTTCAATGGGGGAAGAGAGGTGGGAGGGAGAGACAGAGATCCCAGTAGTTGATGTGTTAGAGAATTTACAGATATATTTTTAAATCACTACTACATATTTGCAGGTGGTTTGAGGAGAGGGTTTTTCAGCAAAAGGCTTAGAACAGAACCACACTGGCCAGAGGATGAACTGACTATGAAGCCAACAAAAGACGAGTGACAAGTGGCCTAGGCTTCTACTCCTGGTGGTACGGTGGACTGGATCCTCAGAGGTTCTTTCCGCTCCTAACAGTGGCACACTGGGAAGCTGGGGTGGGAGCAGGTGGATAGAGAAGTGGAGGGAGTGATTGACCCTGGCAAGAAGGAGCATTTTTTCATTGCCATTGTTTAGAATTACTGGCACTGGTGAAAATGAAAAGCAGACTAAGTAGTCAGTTTCATTACTTTTCTTTTTTTTTTTTTTTTCTTTTCTTTTTTGTTTTAGAGCAATATATTTTTTCAGTACAGATCTATAGCCTTTTTTAAAATTTATTTTTATTTTTTAACATTAATATGCTATACATCATTACAGTATACAAAATGAATTTTTCATCCAAAATACACTGTCTGTTGGCTCAATCAAGCACATCAACATACGTATTATCAACAAACAATTTTTCATTTCTTACGTCTTGTATATTTTGCGTTTTTTCTTTTTTTCTTTTTCTTTTTTTTTGCCATCCTTGATTCCCTATCCCTAACCCTCTGCCCTGTCCCACCCTCCTCCCATTGTCTCTGGTATCCATGATTGCTTTCTATGCCTATTCTCCCCCCCATTTAATTGATTGGCTAATGAACTTAATTTGTCTAAATATTGGCAATAGCAAGCACAGCTGATATATACATACACAAGAACTCATGTCTGACTTTAGGCATAAACCTCAGTGAGTAGAATGAACATACTATAAAATAGTACCTAGCTGGGGCTATATAGCTTACTGTGGTCATCAAATACACAGTTTTTTCTTTAAATTTTGGTAACAGTTTTAGTATTTTTTTTCTCTGAAATTTTTTTAAATTTACATTCATTCCCTGAGCATCATCACAACCTACAGTTTCATTACTTTTCAAAATGCTGTACAGATAATACACCCCCTTATAGTCTGTTCCCAGAATAGACTGCTTCTACTATTCCTCCAACCTTCCACCTTGGTATGTCACTACTTACAGATGAGCTAGGTCCTGCTTTTGGGGGCTTTCAGGAAGTCACAGAAATTTCCAAAAATCTCTAAACAAAACAAAATGTGAGCAGAAATTAGACTGAAAGCAATGAACAAACAGGAAAGCACAGTGGCTCTGAGGAAAAATGCTGCTCATAGTCTACTCTGGGTAAATAGGTCGTGGGACAGCAGTGTGATTAGAGAGCTTACCCTTAGATTCCCACATAAGCCAAGGAGCTTAAAAGAAGGCTGAGATGACTCCAGGTCAAGTCACTTCAGCAGAAGTGAAACCAAATCCTCTGCAGAGACGCTCCCGGGATTCCCACAGATAAATATCAACCAAATAAGAGCTCATGATCAGACTCATGAAATGCACAGGAAAATAAGCCACCATAAGAGATAGCAGAAACAACAAACCACAGTTAAGGGCTCAACTACTGCAATCATCAGCTACAGAACAGGACTATATGTAATATAGTAAAAAGAATAGAATGAGAATCACAAAGATGAACAGGCAATAAGAGGTTGTTAAAGAAAAATGACCACGTAGATTTGAAAATTAATCATGTAGAACCTCTGAGAGGCTACTGAGAGAGACAAGAACTTCTAGACAAGGATAGAATCAAGTCGGAATGTGTGAGCTCTGAGTCTCTCCCTGTAATCTCCTCCTATTTTTGTAGGAGATCCCCAAACCCTGAAGGGCTGTGCTACAGAAGACATCTGCAACCTGCCAGCAAATGCCACCTTGGGCCCAGAGAAATCTGGATTTCATCTCACCTCCAAGCCTGAATGCACACAACCAGGTACTTTGAATCCTGCTTTTGTGAAGCCCTATCTTCTCTGCCCTTCCTGAACCATATATACTCTTCCTTATCCTATGTTTTCCCAGGGTACCCCTGGTCCCACCATAATGCCCCCAGAGTACAATTACACATACATACACGCATACACACACTGGCACACTCGGAAGCAGAAAGCACATTAGCACATGTCCACACCCGCACCTTTGTATTCCAGCACCCCAAACACATTTATAGAGGTGCATAGATTTCTTTTTTTGGAGAGGTTTTTGCTATGGGGTATGTGCTCTCGCCAGACAGACAGAGAGAGACAGAAAGCGAGAAATCGCCCCCCGGGGGGATGGCCATGCCACAATCCCTTCTCCTCCATTCTTCTCTTGGGATCTTGGGCACGCACGCACATGTGCCTGGCGTGAGTTTAAGCCACCGGGTCTGGGACTCAAATCGCGGTCAACTACATGGGAGTCCAGTGACATAGCCATTAGCTAACTGCTGGTCCCAAAGAAGATAGATTTGCTAACATGCTTCTTTTGGCTTAATGAAGAACATTCACAATAACTTTTTTCTTCTGGAAAAGAGGGATGCTAATTGAAATGGTATTTACTGGGGCAACAGCATTTTATGTGATTCGGCTGCAAGAATCACAGATGTTATACAGGTGAGAAAGGGAAAAAAAAAAAGGAAAAAAAAATAGAAAGGGAACTCTCCCTGACAGAGCGGCATTCTCTCAGCTCCAGCGAAGCAGAAGACACCTCTGTTAGAAATCACACCAGACGGGGCCAGGAGGTGGCATGGTGGTTAAGGTCCTGGACTCCCACCTTAACTGATAGGAACTGGTTCAAGTCCTGGACCTCCAGCCTGTTTTCTCACTTTCTCTCTCCTTGTCTCTTTCTGGTGAGTGCATGTGCCCTATAGCAAATTAAAAATAAAATAATGATATATAAACTAAAATAAATAATTCTTAAAAAATGATATCACACCAGAAAGAAACATTCTGTGATGCAGAAAAGGCTCTTTTTTGATGAATCTGCAGGCAAAGGGGAATTTCCTCTCAAGCTGCCACAAGTTTTACTGTACTTTTTAAAAAATATTTTTTCTTTATTTGTAATAGATTGTGTTTGTGTGCACAAGAGACACACCGAGAGAGGAACAACCTCTGTAGGCTCTGGCCGTGCCACGATCCCCTTCCTCCAATACTCCAGCTTGGGACTCTGGGGCACTCAAGTGCATGCCAGGCATGTTTCAGGTTGACCAGGTCCGGGATTTGAACCACAGTCGCCATGTGTTCCCTAGCTCTACAGTTTGGCACACTAATGCTTGAACCACAGAGGCTGCGTTAAGTTTTACTTTTGAAAACTAGGAGGGATATTTAATTAGCTGTCATGATGCAGGGGGCGCAAAAATGAAAAAAAAAAAAAAAGGGGGACGGGGCAGAGAGACTGCTTCTAGCACAGAGGGTAAGAGTTGTACCTTGGGAGCTGGAATCCCATAGGCAGCTGTGGTGTGAATCCTGATCCTGGCAGCTTGAAAAACATGCCTGGCATGGGGACTAGCAGTTAGCGTAATGGCTATGTTGCTGGACTCCCATGTAGTCAACCGCGGTTCAAGTCCCGGACCCAGCGGCTTAAACTCACACCCGGGGTGGGTGCCCAAGATCCTGAGAGGAGAATGGAGGAGAAGGGATTGTGGCGTGGCCATCCCCCCTGGGGGTGATTTCTCGCTTTCTATCTCTCTGTCTCTCTCTTTCTGGCAAGCGCACACACCCTGTAGTGAAAAACCTCTCAAAAAAACCCAAAAAACATGCCTGGCGTGTATGTGCCCGAGTCCCTCACAGGATGAAGAAATGGAGGTAAAAGGATTGGAGCTTGGCCATCCCCCACTGGGAGCTTCTCTCTCTCTCGTCCTCTGAAAGAAAACAAGGCGAGCACGGGAGCGCCAACTCCCAATATGGAAAGAAAAAGAGGACAATAGGATCACCAACGACAGGAACGTGGGACGCAGAACTTCTCTTTAAAAAATTTATTTTATTTACCTTTATTTATTTATTTTTAATTTGACCAGAGAGGGTCAGAGTGAGAAAGAAAAAGAAAGTGAGAAAGCAAGCCACCAGGTCTGGGACTTGAACCGCAGTTGGTGATGTGGGAGTCCAGTGCCCTTAACTACCACGCCACCTGCTGGCTCCAGGACGTGGAACTTTTGCGCGTGTAAGCCAAGTGGACACAGACACATAACATAGTCATGTATGGACACGTCAGCCTCAGATCTGTACACGGGGCTGCGAAAGAGGCGAGCACAGACACACGAATACACAACTGCACCAAGTACACACAGACATGTGGAAACTCGTTGCGATTGGGTCAGGAAGGTCATGCTGCATTTTTGCATAGAAAAACAAATATGTCTGTATGACCCAGTAAAATCCATAAACAATCACATCTGTGTGCCAACACCTCATCGGAACCACCCTCAAGCTTTAACACATAAACACACAGATCTGTGCATACAGATGTGCACGTAGACATCTATTCACACGGAAAAGGTAGGCACAGAGGTACACACACAAACCTCCTCACCTTCCTGCAGACGGTTCCGGAAACACACCGATATTCAACACAGGCGTTCCCCATCAGGCGCGCACACAGAGAAACAGCCGCATTCTCACACACGCAGCATCGTTACGGAAATCCACACGCAAAGGCACTTTTACACACCCATGAATGTGTATTGATGTGCCAGAAACTTGTGTACACGTGCATCTGTGCACGCGCGTACACACACACACACACACACACACACACACACACGTTGTTTTCCAACCAGTTCTCCTTTTTCTCTCCCCAGGTCCCCATGCAACTTCAGACAAGCCGAAGGCCACCATCTGCTTCACCTGCTCAGATGCAGACCACTGTGATCCGCTCCACTGCCCAGAGGAGAGGAACTACTGCCTTCAGACGGTGGGCATCGCAGGTGAGTGTCCACGGGGACAGAAACAGGCCCGGCGCCCAGCCAGATCTTCTCTTTGTCCCCTCATTTTTGTTGCCTGGACTCCAGCCACTGTAGCCTTTTTCTGGCCGTGCAGGACAACGGCTCGGGTTCAGCGCAGGGCAGGATCTTAAAACCCGAGGCCGTGTTTGTTTTAGCTATTGCTGTTGAGTAACACACCGGTCACGAAAGGACAAGCACTGTTTGACCTCACTTATGTGAGATTTCTAGAGTAGTCAAAATCCTAGAAATAGGGGCTAGAGGAGGGAGAAATAGGGAGTTTCTGTTCAGCGGCCATAGTTTGTTTTGTAAAGTGAAAATATTCTCAAGAGCTGTTGTACAACAATGTAAGTATGCTAACGTGACTGAACTGCACACTTAAAAATGATTGGAGGTGGACCAGACACACACGTAGTGGCTATGTTGTTGGACTTCCATGTAGTCGACAGTGATTTGAGTCCCGGACCCAGTGGCTTAAACTCATGCCGGGCGCATGTGCATGCATGCCCAAGATTCCAGGAGGAGAATGGAGGAGAAGGGATTGCGGTGTGGCCATCTGCCTTTGGGGGGTGATTTATCACTTTCTGTCTCTCTGTCTTTCTCTGTCTTTCTGGCGAGTGCACGTGCCCTATAGCAAAAAAACAAAAACAAAAACAAAAACCTCTCCAACAACAACAACAACAACAAAAATGGTTGGAGGTGAGCCAACTCTGTAACCTTGTGGTTAAGGGAGCCAGAGCCCACAAGGAATATGCTAGGTACATGTGCACAGATGCCCCAAATCTTCACAAGGTGGAGCAATAGATGAGAAGGGATTGTGGCATGACCACACCCCACTGGGGAATGCTTTCCTTTCCCTCTCTCTGGTAAGCACATGTGCCTTCTGGAAAAATTAAAAAAAAAATAAAGTTGGGGATACATTTTATGTTTTATGCTTTTTCTTTTTTTTAAAAAAAGAATTATTTTAATTTTATTTATTATCATTGTTTTCCAGTTTGAACAGAGAGAGACGGGGTGGGGGGCATGGGGGAGTGAAAAAACAAGTCCCAGATCCAGGACTTGAACTGCAGTGGAACCTGTGGTAGTCCAGAGCCTTTAACCACCACACCACCTGCTGGCGCCTTTCTTTTCTTTTTAAACTACAATTGAAAATAACACATTTTCATGGTTTCAAATACTAATTTGTTATTTCTCACGATTCCGTGTTTGACTGGGCTCAGCTAGGTAGTTCTGCTCCAGGAGGTGAAGGCTGAGGTCACTTAAGAGCTGGGCTTGGTTGGGGCTGCAATATTCCAGACAGACTCTCACCCTGCAGGGCCTCTCTCCTCGTGGGCTCTCATCAGTTAGTGGGCTAGCTTGAGCTTCCTTCCAGTGTGGAGGCTGGCTCCAAAGTGGAGCCCACCAGGCCTCTTAAGGGATAGGCTCAGAACTGGCACGGCATCACTTTTGCCAGGTTTTTAACCAGAGAAAGTGACAAGGCCAGCTCAGATTTTTTTTTTTTCTGCTTTTGCCATAGGGCATGTGCATTCGCTGGTGAGAGAGAGAGAGAGAGATCACCCCTGGGGGGATGGCCATGCCACAGTCTCTCCATTTTCCTCTTGGGATTTTGGGCATGCATGCACACACACCTGGTGTGTTTTTCAAGCCTCAGGGTCCTGGACTTGAGCTGAGTAGTTAGCCATGTGGGATCCAGCCACCACCTTCATCTCCACACCACTTGGTGGCTTGTGAGCTCAGATTTAAGAGGTGAAGAGAGAAGATTCCACCTCTTGATGGAGGAACGGCAAGCTCATGCTGCAGAAGACAACATGGACAGGAGATAGCCTGTGGCTACCTTGGCTTCTACTACAACATTCTGGATAGGGATCCCCCTAAAACTCGACCCTGACAGTCCACCCCCATAAAGAAAAGCTGGATTCTTCGTTTTGGAAAGTGTCAGAGGGCGTGAGAGAGAGAGAGAGAGCCTCCCAGTGGGGCATGATCACTGTATTCCTCTTTGCTCCATTCCTCTCTCCTTTTGGGGTCTTGGACATGCATGCACATGTACGCAAGGAGGTTTTCAAGCCACAAGGACCAGGATTCAAACTGTGGTTGGCCATGTGGAATCTGGCTCCCCATGCACAGCACTTCACTGTGCTGCAGGGCCAATCCCCAGACTCTTCTGTAAGTGGGAGGAAGGGTTGAACTTGAAACCAGCTCCTCATTGTCTTCCAGCAGCGTAAATAGGAAGACGATTGATAGTGTGCTGGGCTCCCGCGCTGGGCACTTCTGGAGTCCTAGAGAAGGTTCTGACCAAATCCAGAAGGTGCTCACAGACAGGCGGGTGACCTCACAGGTACAGAGCCACCCTGTTCATTGGAACTGGCAGAGAGAAGGCGAGGCGTCAAGGAGGACGTTCTGAGCTATGCGTCTCATTGAACAGTGGTTGGCTTTGGATGTATTAAGGGGAATCTGAGACAGAGTGAATGCCGACAGGGTGACACCCAGAAGGATTTGCGGGGGTGCATTGGAAGGTGGGTCATGACTGCCTTTTCTCACTAGCCTGCCTTCCACATCTCTCCAGCCTTGGGGAAAGGTGACTCTGTCGCCTGGAGAAATGGTTCCTGCGTGGCCTCCAAGGACTGCAACTTTGACAACTCCATCTCAGCCTTGACCTACAGCATTCGCTTTGGCTTCTGGGTAAACAACACCTGTTGTCAAGGAAGCTGCCAGGAGCCCACTCCTCTTCCTGGTACGCTGCCACCTGGAAGCAATCAGATGAGTGACTGAGGAGGGAGGCGGTGTGTGACTTTGAGGAGAGCCTGTCCCGCTTTAGAGAGGCAGGCAGGAATGTCACTCAACCCCCATTCCCCAGCCAGGCTGCCCTAAGACACCCTGGCTGCAGCTCAGTGGGTATCCCATGAAGGTCAGTCCCCTGTGGTAGGATCTCTGAGTGCACCCAGGTACTCGGGGGTCCTGAGACTCCTCCAGTCTGACTGTCACCCTCCTCTCTCTCCAGCAACTCTCCCAGTCTCACGTGCCCTGAGCAAGTTCCTGTGTCCTACCTGTTTTGGGAACTACTCGGGGCCCTGCTACGCCTCCTTTTACAAGCAGTGCCCCAGTGGGCAGACCAGGTGTGTCCAGCTGAACCTGGTGACTGAAGAAGGTAAGGGGGTGGCGTGCACGTGAACATGTATGCATGCATGTGCGTGAGTGAGGCTGATCACATGGGTTTGGATAAAGGCATGCCCGAGTTTGAGGTCTCACTCCATCATTTTCCTGGTAAGTAGGGACTGTAGGCAAAACTTTGCAGGGTTTTTAAGAGGACACAGTGAGCTCATGAAAGAAGTGACAGTATAGATGGAGGATAGACGAGCAAGTCTCTGAGGCCAGGCTACCTGAGTTCAAATCCCGTATCTATCATGATAAGCTGGGTGATCTTGGGCAGGTGACTTTACTTCTCTGTGCCTCAATTTCCACCTGCAAAGGGGATGGGAGTAGCTTCCAAGTCAGAAGACTTCAAGATCAGTGCTTTCCAAAAGAAACATACTATTTAATGACTATGTCGCTGGACTCCCATGTAGTCGATCGCAGTTTGAGTCCCAGACCCAGTGGCTTAAAACTCACGCCGGGCGCGTGTGCGTGCGTGCCCAAAATCCCGAGAGGAGAATGGAAGAGAAGGGATTGTGGTGTGACCATCCCCCCCAAGGGGTGATTTCTCGCTTTCTGTCTCTCTGTCTCTCTCTCTGTCTGTCTGGTGAGCACATGCGCCCTATAGCGAAAACCTCTCCAAAAAGAAAAGAAAAGAAACACTATGAATTATGCGTACAATTAAAATTTTTCTAGTAGCTTCATTAAACAAGCAAAAAGTAACGAGGAAAATTAACTTAATAACATGTTTTATTTACCTAAAAATATCCAACAGTTACCATTTCGACCTGTAATCACATAAGTAGTTACAAATGAGATAGCTTACCTTTGTTCTTTCTTATCAAGTCTTGAAGTCCGCTGTGTCTTTTACTCTCAAAGTACACAAATTCATAGGACCAGCAGTTAGTGTACTGGTTATATCGCTGGACTCCCATGTAGTTGACCATGATTCGAGTCCCAGACCCGGTGGCTTAAACTCACGCCCAGTGCATGTGCGTGCGTGCCCAAGATCTTGAGAGGAGAATGGAGGAGAAGGGATTGCGGCATGGCCATCCCCCCTGGGGGGTGACTTCTCACTTTCTGTCTCTCTGTCTCTCTCTCTGTCTTTCTGGCAAGCGCACGCACCCTATAGCAAAAACACCTCAAAAAAATAAATAAATAAAATAACCCCCCACATGTATCATGGACGCCCTTCACCCAAACTCGTAACGGTCCACTCAAGGCCAGCCCTGTTTCACCTCCACCTCTGCCTCACACTGTTTCAAAGCAAATTCAGGTATCATATCACTTCCTTCATAAGTATATTCATATATATGTCTGAAGGGTAGGACTTGTAAAATACCACGCACTGGTGAGGTTTTTTTAAACGGAAAAAAATAAGACTATTTTACTTTCTTTTTTCTTTCTTTCTTTTTTTTTTTTTTTGAGAGGTTTTTGCTATAGGGTGCGTGCGCTTGCCAGAAAGACAGAGAGAGAGACAGAGAGACAGAAAGCGAGAAATCACCCCCCAGGGGGGATGGCCATGCCGCAATCCCTTCTCCTCCATTCTCCTCTCAAGATCTTGGGCACGCACGCACACGCGCCTGGCGTGAGTTTTAAGCCACCGGGTCCAGGACACGAACCGCGGTCGACTACATGGGAGTCCAGAGACATAGCCATTACGCCATATGCTGGTCCCAGACTATTTTACTTTCATACCTCTTTTCAAGTCCTGAATAAACGGGGCATTTGCATACCTCTACATAAATGATCAGATCCTATCATGTAAGGATTCTTTAAAAAAAAAGTTCATGGGAAATCTGAATTAGAAAAAAAAAACTATGCATGATTTCAAAATTGTTTTCAGGGAACCAGCAGTTAGCGTAATGGCTATATCGCTGGACTCCCATGTAGTCGACCGCGGTTCGTGTCCTGGACCCGGTGGCTTAAAACTCACGCCAGGCGCGTGTGCGTGCGTGCCCAAAATCCCGAGAGGAGAATGGAGGAGAAGGGATTGCGGCGTGACCATCCCCCCTGGGGGGTGATTTCTCGCTTTCTGTCTCTATGTCTCTCTCTGTCTGTCTGGCGAGCGCACGTGCCCTATAGCGAAAATCTCTCTCAAAAAAAAAAAAAAATTGTTTTCACTGAAATAAAGTTTTTTTTTTTTTGGAGAGGTTTTCGCT